CTCATTGTAGTTGCGCCATGGATTCAACGCTGAAGTACCTCAGGTCACCCACTAAAAATGTGCAGAGGTTTAGTGTCCAGGGTTTTCATTTTCTCGGTAAACACCGCCATGTCTATTTTCACTGTCACGTGATTGCCTGTAACGGAAATGACGCCAAAAGTGTGTGCTCACGTGGTTGTGACAAGAAAAAGATCGGCAAGCGCAATGCGGAAGTCACTGATGCAGCAGTTATGCTTTCCCGAGGACCACTCGCTACCAGAGACACTGACAAGATAGCAGAGGTGCTTGGTCACAAGATTCATCCCCAGTCACAAGGTAACAGGCTATATGACATGTCATTTACATTGTATATTATTCCATACACCTATTTCAATGAAGGTTGCATGTCGGACGAATGGCGATTGTTGATTGGATATTTCACGACAGGACTGCACGACCCAGTGCATTTTGTTTGTCATCAATTTCTTACTTCGCAGCTTTGAAACTTGCTTTACGCAAGCTTCTCAGGTTTTTCGGGACATTTAGAAGGCCGTGATGCATAATCAACATATAATGACGTGCAGTCATTTATTTTCAGATAATTCAGTGATCGTGGAACTTCCCTGAGCAAAGACCATCTAGACGTACTCAAGATGCCTTGTAAGGAAAATAGGGTTAAAAAATAGTAGATTAACTGTCATATACAGTAAATTGCATTTAATATAAGGGATGATTAACTAGGAATAAATGATGAAATGAAAAAGAAATTTGACGTTCTAAAAAAGCGCAAACTCGTGCCCTGATATGCCCCAATGGATTATAGGGAAATCTGAGAAGGAAAAACTCACAATGATGCCTCAACGAGGAAATATATTGTTATACTCTCCTTATCATCTTTCAATGTCACGATTTGCGTTAAAATATGCTTGTAATCTAAGCTGAAGTTAAGAGTGAATTAACTGAATAAATACCATCTTGAAAGTCAAATGATGTCAAGTATTTGTGATCAGGGAGGTTGTCAAGATAACTATTGTTTTCTTTTTTTTTTTGTATTAAATTAATAAACAGATAAATGGAAGACTGTATATTTGAGAATAATCGAAGTCATTCTAGAGATGGATGAACATTTAAACTTATAGCGGCGGAATAGTCTGGATCGGAGTTACGATGTGTACGTCACACAAACTTCTAATTTGATAATAAAAAAAACTACACGCACAGCAGATTATTCCTCTTCCCTGCGGACGTAGGCCTGGGCAGGAGTAAAAATCATGAAAGGAGTCATTTAAAAATGATAAGAACAGTTGATACTCGAGACTGAATTAAACCACAGAAAGTTTCTCAAAAACAACAAGTTCTTCCATGAGTATATTTGTTCTGGTTTGAGAGGCAGAGTCTCTTCTAAAGCAAAGGACGAAAGGTACCAAAGCACCGACGATTGTAACAACACCAGACACAATAAAGGCTTCCTTGTAAGAGTGAAGATCAGCAATACGACCTGTGAAAGTAGAGAATTAAATATTTAGGGAAGGTATATTACGTTTATCACTGGCGGGAGGGCTGGAGTAATCTGTATGGCTCTCCCCAGTAGTTCTAAAACTAAATTCAAAAAGTACTCGCACTCGCGGCCCCATGATACAGAATCCGAACTTATCCAAGCTTCTGGATCACAGATTCAATGAAAACTTGCGCAAAGATTCTGGATTACACTATTATGGATTCAGAATGACACTATAATGGATTCAGAATGACACTATAATGGATTCAGAATCACACTATAATGGATTCAGAATCACACTATAATGGATTCAGAATCACACTATAATGGATTCAGAATCACACTATAATGGATTCAGAATGACACTATAATGGATTCAGAATGACACTATAATGGATTCAGAATCACACTATAATGGATTCAGAATTACACTATAATGGCTTCAGAATTACACTATAATGGATTCAGAATGAGAAGCTTTTTTAGCAAACATTTGAAGTAGGTTTTTTGGTTCCGGATTATTTTTGTTTTATCGGATTCCGATTCCAATGTGGGCGATCCCGGAWTCCAATGTGTGGATTCTGGATTCTAGACCAAACTTTTSTCGGATACAGGGCGACAGCAYGTTCGTTTTCAGTGATCGATTAATTTAGCTTGGGTTACCTGTGTCTATTTACTGCCCATTGTACCTGTTATCATAGGACCAAGAACAAATGCCAGAGAAATCACCATATTTGCACCGCCATACGCGTACGCTCGCTTTTGAGGATCAGGAGTACTAAGTGCAATGGAGTTATAACTGCTTTGAAATGCACCGTCTGCCAGACCAAACACAACTGTAATTATCACTAAAACAATGTAGCTTTTACTCATAGAGACAGTCAGCGCTGAAATCCCACTAAACAAACTACTAGCTTGGTTCACGTAAATCGGTTTGACAAACTGACAGAGTTTCCCTGCAGCAATCTTGGCGACGAACGATCCGATACCAATACCTATGTACAGATAGGAGGACTTTGAACTGGAAATTCCTACTTCTTCACAACTGCGAACCTGGTGAAGAAAATTGATAAAAATTTGCGACAACGGGTTATGTAATATATCAAAAATATGAACGGGAGACCTTGATGGGCATTTAAAACTGCGAGCTGTAAGAGTCCCACGTCGGGTGCGAATATTTTATATTGCTTATCAAATTTCAACATGCTAAGTCATATAAGCATAAATATAGCTAAATACTTTGAATATACAAAAGAAAAATAACAACAACAACAAAACTGATCAGAATATACTAAAGGTACAGCAAGACAAAAAACTTGAAAAGTTGAAAATTATAGGATTACTTACCAGATGAATTGGAAGAGAATAATGACTTAAAGACACTATAAACAATGTTGTAACAGACACACTGTAATACAAACTACAAAAGTTCAAAGTTTTCTTTAGGTTATTCCAAGAGTATTTTTTCTCGTGCCTGATACAACGGCTCGAATCACAGGCATCAGCGCATCCATTTGGGTCAGCTTCCACGTTGGTGTCAAATACAATGATAGTAGCTATTCCACAACAAAGAAGCATTCCTGATTCTATTCTTAAAGCGTTTCTCCACCCAAAGGAACTGATCAGCTCTTGTGCTATGGGCGCGACTACAAAATAACCTGCAGAAGCCCCAGCAGCTACAAATCCGAGAGCTAAATGACGATTCTTATCAAAGTACAAGGCAACCATTAAAAAACAAGCCATAAGATTGAGTGCTATTCCTAAACCATAAAGAATTGGTAACGATATGAATAGATATGTCATTCCTGTGGCCCATGAAGAAACAAGAAGAGCCGCTATACATGAAATGGTGCCAATGATGATAGACACTCTACATCCGTAACGATTACAAATCTTTCCAGCCAGAAGACAAAGAAACATTCCCAAAAAGTACGTAAGAGAGCCCAGCAGAGCTGAAAAAAAAAATGAAGAAAAAGATTTTAAAAACTGTCATGTATCGATAAAAGTAATAGCGTAATCCCAAACGTATCAGAAACAGTAGTAGCGCAAAACCTAACGTATCAGTATCAGTAGTACAGCAAACCCTAACGTATATCAGTAACAGTAGTAGCGCAAACCCTAACGTATATCAGTAACAGTAGTAGCGCAAACCCTAACGTACCAGTAACAGTAGTAGCAACCCTAACGTATCAGTGAAAATAATAGCGTAATCTCTAACGTATCAATAACAGTAGTAGCGCAAACTCTAACGTATCAGTAATAGTAGTAGCACAAACCCCAACGTATCAGTAACAGTAGTAGTAACCCTAACGTATCAGTAACAGTAGCAGCGCAAACCCTAACGTATCAGTAACAGTAGCAGCGCAAACCCTAACGTATCAGTAACAGTAGTACCAACCCTAACGTATCAGTAAGAGTAGTAGCAACCCTAACGTATCAGTAACAGTAGTAGCACAAACCCTAACGTATCAGTAACAGTAGTAGCACAAACCCTAACGTATCAGTAACAGTAGTAGCAACCCTAACGTATCAGTAACAGTAGCAGTGCACGCTACTACTCTCGTCACTCCCTATATACGAATACATTCAGGAGCTAGATACAATTAATTCGATTTATTTCAGACCTCTAAACAAACTGTACTAAAACTTTCACTACTGCTTACCAAAGATACAGTTTTCTATTGATTTGAAAATCCTAAAACCCAGAGCAAAAGATGTGCAAACTGAGTAGTACCCAGGGCTCTTGATATTTCTTCATGGAACCTTCTTGTAATGTATCACTGCCGCTAATCTGCCGTTATGGCCTTGACTTTTAAAATGCGGGACTAGTAACGAGGCCAGAGTCCTCTCATTTCCCCTTCTTCGCCCACAGGGAGACCGAAATATGTATGTTTCCTGCTGACGAAGTAGCCAAGGCAAAGCATGCAGGCGTTGTATTACACAGCGTGTGACGTCGAGGTAATGAGAACTAAATAACAAAACTAAATACATCGTGGTTTCCTGGCGAGACAAACCACTAATTTGAAATGGCTGGGGGACCCCTGKGGGAACACTCGAGCGCTCAACTAGAGTACATTTAGCTAAAGCGTGAAAAATTAGTAATTCTTTGTTCAACTAGCACTATTTTGCGCAATGTGTTATGTATTTTATCGGCTCATCTGATTTTTTGTCGAATTCTCTCAACTGTCCCTTGATATTTATTTTGCCAGGAAACCACATAGTCAAGCTTTTAAAATTAATCGTTCATTTTAGAAAATTGAGTCAATCTTATAGGAATGGCATATGTTACTGGAAATTATTAAAGTAATTTGTGTTATCATGAAACAATGAAATGTCGAAACTTTAGCAGAGCTGCAGCTTAACGCATTTACACATCTTATGCAATGATGTCTTTTATTGGCCCTTTTATTATTTTAACTAACTTATTCACATGTGCATTTAATACTGCAAAATCCTCACTATCGAGTATTCCACAGTTAAGCAGCCTCCCTGTCATCTTTCCCAATACATACTGACAAATGTTGCCAATTGTGATTCAAAACAAGTTCAGGTTATTTACATATTGACTCGTTGAAAATTTTACCTGTTTTTTCTCTGCTTTCATCAAACGCTTTCATGAAGACAGGTAGAAAAACACCAAAACTAAAAAACACAGAAGACGTCATACCGTTTGTTATTGCAGCACAAACACAAACCAACCAGGARTATTTTGTTTCTCGCTTTCTAGGACACGCAGCCATACTTGAACGGAACGATCGGTTTTGGCTGGAAATCGATGACAGATGATGTCTTTGTTAGACAGTAAAATGCCATTTGCACTACGTAAACATTTGTTCGTTTTATTGAAAACAAATTGCCATCGACGCAGGAATCTGGAGCGTTTGTTCGATCARGACATGCAGGAGTAGGACAAAATTTGTTCAGCCATAACAAACTTCAAAATGYCGTTGCGCTAGGCCCAACATGAAAGATGTGACAGGCTTGTCAATATCTTCACCCAGCATGACCAATGAAACACAAATCCATGATGGCAACTGAGCGTTCTCATACTTCTGTTGCTTGTATATACGTTGTTTGTGATGAATTTTATTACTGTATTTTCTAACGCTAATCATGAAACATTTGTAAATTTAAGAAAAAAAGTTTTTTTGATGACTTTTTTATTACTTGAATTAAGTAATACTTGCCCACTACTTTTGAATGTGTATTACAGTAAAAAAATGTTGACTTTAATTTTTCATTATATTTACTTGTAATTTTCATGACGAATCGTCTATATTGATATATTTGCTAAATATTGCTTTGATTTTTTACAAACTTGAGATGTTCTTATAAGTTAAAAATTTACACATTGAAGTCTATATTATATTTGATATATTTATTATTTAGTTAATTATTGCTTGAATAYAAATGCTGTAGAGTCAACGTACTAAATCCGTAAAAAATAGTGCTGTTGCTTATATAGACAATCAAAAACAAAGGAATTCAGCATACTTAGTATAGTACTATTTTGCACTATACAAGCTTTGAGTGTTTTCACTCTATGTGACATTTTATATCCTATGTATCAACTGGTGTATATGGAAACGAATAAATTTATTATTATTAGGGAGTTATCATTATTTATCGGGGGTGGGGGGGGCACTAAATTTGTGGGGAGAATCACATTTTTTTGGATGTGTGTTTGGGGAGGGTTGAATTTTTTCAAATGAGCTTTGGGGAGGGTCACAAATTTTGGACTGGAGAAAAACAAATAAGGATATAAGAGTTCTTCTGTTTATCTTATCAAAAGCTCTTATCAAAAAGCTTTAGTGCAGATTTTTCAAAATTTTGCCGTTGCGGGAATTTTTTTCGGTCCTTGGGGCCGTGCAGGAAGTTTAAGAGAGCATGAGTACACTGTTTTGTACAAGAAGATCCGAAAAGCTACAACATGCTGGGAAAAGGAACGTGACTTATGAGTAATAAAGTAAAATGGGAGAATTCTGAACAAAGATCGCTGACTCCACAGAAAATGGTTAAAATTGATTCTGAGTATTAGCATATGATATTACACCAAAGGAGTATTCCAGCAGTATTTTTCTAGTATT